ACACATTTCTAAAAATAACAATATAGTAGACTGATTTGAATACCATGCACAGTCACGATTTGCACGTGTCAATTGGGATCTTATTAATGAAATTCCATAGTGATTTTTAAAGTGTACATATTTTCCAGTGATACAACTTCTGTTTGATTGGCCTAGTACTTTGCAACAATAATTTTGATTTGTTGACAAAATTTTTACATGGTGTGTTTCCTGAAAGAGTGTTTTAATGAAATTTGCTGGAAAAAAAAGTATTGGATTGTAAAGTAAAATAGCATTGCTGTTATTTTATACTTGTTAAGAAAAGGAGAAAAATTATAAAACATATTTCACAAACTATTGAAACGCGTAATGATTGTAGTTATAGCATATATACATAATATATATCGCGAAGGGTTAGTGAAATATCAAGGGTTACATGTATATGGCTTATTGGAGCACACAAGGTGAGTGTATTAGCACTTTATTACAATATTATAAGATTTTATGTTGGTGTATTAACGGTTCAAGTTTAAAGGCAAGATTGAAAAGTCACATGTAAATTACTGCAAAAGAAGTACTTGTTTCATAATATGTAACTGTTCATTCCAAATAGCTTATGTATGATAAGTATGTTCAAGAATTCTGCGGCGTTAGTTGTCTGCACTTTATAGTTTCAATCACTTACAATTGTACATGTAGCAGCGTTAATTGGGCACATTGATTTTCACAAATCCTTCCAGGAATTTTCCACCATTGCCTGAAAATAATTTTCTGGGTCTGGGTCGGGGACAAAGTTCTCTTTTAACTGGCCTACGTTTACCTTTTTCGCACTCTTTATAGAAGATCTTGCCGTCCAGCGTCTAGTACGAGTGAATATTTTTTAAATAAAAAGAACCGTATTCAAATAAAGTACGGACTTCGTACAACAAAGTTGCCGTATATTTCAAATGTACGAACTACGGAATATTAGTCATGTACGCATTTCATGATATACGGCACTGCACACCTCCGTCTTTTAAATTTCCGACGTATTTATAATAATTTATGTAGAATTTCGTACATTTCCGTATATCTGCAATGGCCATAATGTCATTTATAGAGGAATTTAAACAAACAATTATATCAGCATAAAGAAAAAAAAACAATTACCGTCGAATACAGTAGCATTTTAGATAATGTGTTAGCCGGTGCTGTGGTAGTACCAGTAATAGTTGCCAAGGATACGCAGCGAACGATCTTTGTAAGTCAATTTTGACGTCGTGTACAAAAAATGGCTGAAACTATTAAAAAAATCATTTTACATTTACATGCCAATTTTCAAGACGCTTCTAGAAAGTTCACAAAGTGTCGCGATCTACACTAATTGTATCTTATGTTAATTGTTGGTTGTTAAGTGGAAATTAATTTGAGTATTTGTGAAAAAAAAGTTTTTATTTAAGGAAATCACTTGAACACTTTTCTTTCGCGGAGCAAAATCTACTTTAAATATGGGCGGTGATGCCGCAAACCTAAATTACACGTTGAAACTGTTCTGTCGGGAAAGAATAATAATGGTACCATTAAAATAATATAAAAACATGATAAAACTAGGCTATAAAAGGATTATTCGAATATATGGTTGATGTTGGGGATCGGAGGTTTGTCCTGGTCGTTACGAAAGGGAATCTTGGCTCGATAAAGCTCGACACCAATCATATATTCCATAAATCTCTACCTAAAGTATCTGAAATAGATCTTTTCTTATACTATCATCTCGTATGTTTTCAAATTATTTTTATTACTCTCCTATAATTGAAAAAAAAAAGGATTTCACCTTTGGAAGAAATTAATTTTGACAGCTCTAAATTTATGTGTGACTTTGGAGAATATTTTGTAGTATTTGTAGTACATGTAGGTAGGTGCCTGAATATGAAAGAACCAGTAATGTACAGTCTTGTAGTGTAATGATAATTTAGATCAACTGTTGGTACTTCTGCCATGACAATGAAAGACTAATAAATATTGAAATACTGAAAAATAATTGACATTTTATCACAGGGAATAGATACTCCTTTGATAAAATCTCTTATTTTACTTAAATATTCTTGACCGTTTATAAAATTAATCAATTTGTTTAAAATTGAACTGTTTTTGAAATAAAAACCAAAACATTTTACAATTGCGGTGTAATTGCAGTGACAATTGTATTTTTTTTTAGACTTTTCTCGGGTTTTTGAATGCAGTTAACTAGAGAAGATTAGAAATTGAAGTAATTTTCCGCAACTATTTTGGATCAGGTATTATAGTGTGGTTCTTGTTGTTGTGAATCATACAGTACTGGTTTAGCCAGGAAAGTAAACGAAACATTGTGCTTTAGTTTGAATTAAACCAAGTGATTATTTTAGACATTTGGGTATAGCAATCATATGAAAGTAGTATGTGCTTATATTGTCTTCATTGTTATTTGAATTTCCCTTGTAAATTGTTTGGTAGTTGAAATCCATACAATTTTATTACAAGTTAAGTACAGTACTGGACTTGATATTTATATAGTGCATACATTTTCACATTGGAAAACTATAGAAGTAAGAACAGTGTAAATTTAAGTATATTTAAAAAGTTCACCCCTGTATGAATTTGGTGGATCAATTCATAAAATTTAGAAAATATTTAACGTCGAACTTTTGCTTCCAAATTACTATTATTATTATTATTGCACTGCGGCGTCATTTTTAGCCCTATACTCACGTGACACACGTCGTTGGAAAGCTTGGAAACTTTACAGTGTACTTCTTTTGATCATTTAGTGCGCTGACATCAACCTCTTGTAGAAATTTGACATACACGATCGAGTTTGCAACAGGATGTAGTCCAAGCTATGCTGAATAAACCTTTATATGAGCCGCGTCACGACAAAACCATCATAATGGGTTTGCGACCAGCCTGCGCATCCACGCAGTCTGATCAGGATCCATGCTGTTCGCTATCAGTTTCTCTACTTGTAATAGAGTTGGTAAGCGAACAGCATGGATCCTGACCAGACTGCGCGGATGCGCAGGCTGGTCTGGATCCATGCTGGTCGCAAACGCACTATGTTGGTTTTCTCGTGATGCGGCTCATATCTATTCACGTGCAAGTGATACAGCCACTCCAAATTGACCGTGCTTGAGTCCAGACCGCATTATTAAAACATACACAATTATAATAAACAACAGCGTTTTCGTTCGTCGTGATGACATTTTAAGCCCCAGACTCATAAAACACACCTTTATGGAAATCTTGGAATGCATAGAACCTGACTTCTAGTACTTAATTCACAGGACGTATTTGTTTTGATGTAAATGATCATAAACGCAAAAAGTAACCAAAGGGATAAACCAACGCCGACACTGACGCCGATAAGTGGTTCACAACAATACATTAACAGTAACGCAGAAAAAAAAGAAAGAAATACAATGTTTTAAATACTGATAGTTTTCTTGCATCAAAGTGACTAGAGCATAAACATATCGACGAAAGCAAATAGCTGAAGACCATTCAATATTTTAAGCTGATCGGCAAGGTCATAATGCAATCGTGTTTGAGTAAACTGTTTCTTATATCATAAAGTAATAAAACTGAACTTTCATGGGAAAAAAATCCGCAAATCTATTAAATTTTAGCGACCCAATTACGTAATAATGGTGGTAGCTCAGGTGATCACAATATCTTTTACGTTAAAATGTCCCCAGACATTAATATAAGTAATGAAGTATACATTTATTTAAGGTATAATATACATCTTTTTAAATATATTTTGCCTGGGTTTCAAGTCACGTCAACACTACCAGAAAATATGGTGACTTTCCAGCTGTCCCAGTGTAGGAAGACCCTGGGTGTCCGTCTATACATTTGCAAGCTGCTGAGTAGAACCACCAACCTTCCTTAATGTTAGCTTCACAGCTTCCTTACATCTCTTCTCCAAATCCCTCTAGAGGCGTGCACGTCGCGGAGAAGGCACACTTCAGGTCAAGGTCAAGTCATCTAAAGTACCAGAGATGATTGGTTGACCTGTCGTGACAAACTCTGGAGGGTGGTTTAACAAGGGTCGTTTTTGTTATCGTTCGCCTTGGCAGTATTGTCGACTCCTTCACCACCACCATCGAACGAAAAACAGGCTCCAGGAAGTTACGCCATGAGAAGATGAGAAGATGTCCCCGATGCGACTACAACAGTGGACCGGCAAGAACGCTACAATCTCGGACATATGGTTATTCTGGCGCCGAATATAAACCAACATAAATACGCAAATCCGCATGAAAAAGGTAATATAGCCTCATGCCCCGTGAAAGGGGTTAGACCAGACAAATAATTCAGTTCTACCTACAAGCTACATTAAATAAATGTTAAAATATTTTTGCCGTCGGCCTAAAAACCAAGCATTCCACAGTTTCATTAACCTTTTAACAGTATCGTTGTAAATCTCATCAAATATTGTTCATAAATTAGGATTTTAAATGGAAAACCCCACGGTAACACTAAAGTTCGTATACGAATTTTAACATGCAAATGAAGATTATAATCAGCTCGTGTATGCGCTACGTCACGTTGTTATAGTTGCTATCCGGAACACAGCAAATATAAGATTTTCTTGTGCAAACACACTTTTACCGTTTAAGCTTCACGGTGCACTAGGCCTGTGCACAGTTCAGAAAAAATAATCATCTCATAAAAAAGATTAAATTTGTATGAAAATATCCGTTACAATGGGAAATATACCGTTAGATTAGGACTGCTACTTATAGTCATGTTTGTTGATTTAATATTGATGTACGGATGATCTGAAGGCGGAGTTTCTCATGCAAACAGAAATTGTACTTCCGAATTCGCCACAATGAGGTTGTACATTTGTATGCTCATTAAACTCATTTTGGTTGTCTGGACACCAAAATAAGATCTGGAGTCGATATGAAACCCAATTTATTAATGAAATGTCGCTATTTCTTTTTTTATGAAATTTATTTAATGTATTTTTAAAGGGGAAATGATAAAAAAAACACAAATTTTTCCTATTTATTACTTATAAATAACAGATAATTACCAACAATATAACAAATGTGCAAAAAATATAAATAAAAACCAAAATTGATTACAAAATAGTTAATACAGTGTATACAATTCTATATATCTTAAATACAATGTCCATATATACTTACTTATCTAACCCTTACCTTGCTGTTTTACCCATGGCACCAGTGCAGACCAAGATCAGTCTGCACATCTGTGACATAATTATAATCATGGTCTGCACTATTTGCTATTCAGTCAGTTCAAAGTTTGAAATTATCTCCCCTTTAAATGATGAACAGATTTGTCTAGATTAAATGACATACAAATCAATATAAGATAATTAGCATGACAAGGGTTAAAGTGTGATCTAATTCTTGATTCAAAAAAATGATTTAATTCTTGATTCAACAAGTGATCTAATTCTTCATTCAAAAAGTGATTTAATTCTTGATCTAACTCTTCATTGAAAGGGTTAATAACATGTGTGTTCCCCTATTATTTGAATCAACCACATGACCAAATCAAGTCTATTTATAATGGGATCTCCCCTTACCAGATTTAAATTTGGGAGAACATTCTACAGAAAACAAAACAAATGTAAAGTAAGGACTGTAACAAAATTACAATAATAGTAATAACTGTACTGCTATAGTAAATGTAAATATTTACTATATAGTAATTACTTATTTTACATCTTCAGTTTCCATTATAATAAACCATTGTTAGGTAATGTGATCCCTGCCAACTTCGCATTTTACACTACTATTGGGTGAATTATTTATTTACATTAAAAACTTTGATAATCTAGCAAAAGAATTATCTTTGGTAAAACTATAAGGGACTTTAATTTTCTGTAAACTATTCTATGAAATTACTGCTCAACTTTGTTCATGCATTTTCCGCCAGCTACAGTAAAAAATTCTGTGTAGACAAGTGTGAGCAAATAAACAGGTCAATAAAACTATTTTATTCATTAAACAGAATGACTACACCTATTTTTGTTCATATACAATATTAACAAGGTTGTACAGAACATACTTTCAAGTTATTAACAGAAATGATAATGAATGACATATAAAATGATAATTAAATTTCCTGGAAAGTCATTAAGAGTAGGCCAGATGTATAAATGGAATAATCACAGTATTTTTGTAAATATCAATACAATTATAAAATTAGTATCTAGTATTTTTATTCAGTTTGGCACACAATTTCATGTCTATCCCTGTCAATGGATTGTAATATTATGAATAATAATAATATAGTGTATACCATATTTCTTCTAATAATACCCCCCTTAGGCCAATTGCATAACACAAACAGGGTGCTTTTATTTGAGACCAAACTTTTTTATTTGAAACTATTAACTTAATCCTCTAATCTTATACAGTTATTTGCAAAACAAACACCACATAGTGACATGTGTAGATAGATAAAGAAGATGTGGCATTGACTGATTGTTTGCTTGTTTGTTTTAACTTTGACATATATTTAGTCATATCATGACAAAACCAACATAATGGGTTTGCGACCAGCATGAATCCAGACCAGCCTGCGCATCCACACAGTCTGATCAGGATCCATGCTGTTTGTTTACCAACTCTGTTACAAGTAGAGAAAATGATAGCGAACAGCATGGATCCTGATCAGACTGCGCTGATGCGCAGGCTGGTCTGGATCCATGCTGGTCGCAAAGGCACTATGTTGGTTTTGTTGTGACGCGGCTCATATATTTAGTCACATCATGACATTCTGTTCACCTAACTGGCTTTCCTGGATAACTTACAACATTACTATTTGTTCCTGCATTTAAGGCTGACACCTCTTAACTTATAGTATATTTTTAAAGGGGGTCATTATATACATTTTTTTTGTTTTTTTTTGACACTTTTAAGATGAACACAGGTTTTTTTTTTTCAATCTGGTCATATTTTTTCTTCCCAGGTCCGATACTTTTGCCTGTGGGCTGACACTGGGTGCTACAAAATGAAAATAAAGAATGAGGGAGCTTGTAAAAGGCAGGTGGCTTATATTAAGAGGAATACGGTATACGACAGAAGCTCATATTCGCAATAATGTCATGTTTGGTATAAAAAATGCCAAGTATTTATGATGATAAAAATGTGACTCATAATTTTCACACTGTGCAGTGTGGCTTTTAAAGCCCATATTTAATGTAATCTAATCATAAATTTTGTTTAAAATTAAAAGATTAAAGTGACAGATAACTGGTAGATTACATAAAATACAAAATATATTGACTATGAAATGATTTATGAAAAAAAAATACTATAGATAACTTATATACACAAATAAAATATAAGATATAATCTCAGGATAGATGTTTTTTCACAAAGTTGATTTGTCAAGTAATACATGAAAATAGTAAGGGAAACAAAAAATATTGAACAATGATAAACAAGCAGTCTACATTTAAAAAAATATCCTCACAAATGTGAACATTTTGGATTAACTGAATAAGAATGGCACATTAAATGAATTTCTTGATCAAATTTATTGACAACAAAACATCTTAAAACATTTCCTTTGAAAGAAATTAAAACTTAATAATTTTGTTCTTTTGATTTGTTTTTTATCAGAAAAATCAAGTATGAGTAATAATGGAATAATATAAAATAACATATGCTCAAAAATATATGTAGCGATATGAATTACATTTTCTAACTTAAAGAGTATATAAATAACCATTTATAATTTTTAATGGAACAAAAGTAAATACCATTAATAAGGCCATGTATACAGCAGGACATTTTTTGGTATAGCAAATTCTGATAAGTTGTAATGCTTATATGATGAAATGAAATAAGTGTTTCACAACAGGAAACCAAGATACAGAGAGATATAAAGAGATAATGTGTCCCAATAAAACAAACAAAACCATTGGTCAAATTTGACAATTCATCTAAAACTTAACCAATTGGATGACATGTTTTAAGACATCTGTCTCAAGTCAAAGGACTATTCATTTTTTCAGTTAAACTGACACAAAAACAATTTTAAATAGCTCAACAATTAAAAAACAAACATTATGAAATGATTATTAAAAAATATTGAAATTGTTAAAATAAAAACAAGAGCTGTCACAGGAGACAGCGAAGCTCGACTAATAAAATACTGGACGCAGTAAGGAGGACAAATCTATGAAAGAAAAATTAATTATGAATAATTATGTATTAAGTTATAGTAAAAAAATAACATTTGTTAACATAAATTCCAAGATCAAGGGGAATAATTCTAGAAATAGTCATGCTAGAGTTATGGACCTTGCCACAGAACATTTGTGTAATGATAAGAAATATATATTTGAAGTTTGAAGTAGATACCTTAAAAAATATAGAAGTTATTATATTTCTTAAAGAAAATCCTAAGTTCAAAGAGATATAAATCTGTAAATATTGCTTCAAGAGTTATGAACATTGTCACATAAAATGTAATTGATGATAAGGAATAAGTATTTGAAGTTTGAGGTAGATACCTTTAAAAATAAAAAAGTTAAAATAAAAAATAACATTTTTCTAGTAAATAAATCTAAGTTTATGGGGAGATAATTCTTGCAATATTGGTGCTAGAGTTATAAACCTTGTCACATAAGATGTGGATGATGATAACGTAAATATATTTGAAGTATGAGGTTGATCCCTTAAGAAATAAAGAAGAAACAGTAAGAAATAGTATTTTTTGAGGACAATTCTAAGTTCAAGGGGAGATACATTTAAGGTACATATATTTGAAGTATGAGGTTGATCCCTTAAGAAACAAGAGGGCCATGATGGCCCTGAGGTCGCTCACCTGTATATAGGCCCCCCCCCCCCCAACGTTGCAGGGCCAATTTAACCCAAGGGCTTTTATTTGCACAAACTTGGTAGACACCCATAAGAAGATGTTTCATGCTAAACATCTAAGCTCTAGCTCATTGGGCTTTTTAAAAGAAGATTTTTTTAAAGTTTTTACTATACACATATAGTTAAAAACAATGACACCCCTGGGGCCGGGCCAGGGCTTCTATTTGAACAAACTTTGTAGACACTTACTAGAAGATGTTTCATGCTTAATATCTAAACTCTAGCTATTTGGGTTTTTTCAAAGAAGATTTTAAGTTTTTGCTATACACATATAAAAAAATCAATGACCCCCGGGGCGGGGCCAATTTTGACCCCAGGTCTTTTATTTGAACAAACTTTGTAGACACTCACTAAAAGATGTTTCATGCTTAATATCTTAACTCTAGCTATTTGGGTTTTTTCAAAGAAGATTTTTTAAGTTTTTGCTATACACATATAAGGAAAATCAATGACCCCCTGGGCGGTGCCAATTTTGACCCCAGGGCTTTTATTTGAACGAACTTGGTAGACACCTATGAGAACATGTTTGATGCTAAATATCTTAGCCATAGCTCTTTGAGTTCTTTAAAAGAAGATTTTTTAGGTTTTTACAATGTGCATATAGTGAAAATCAATGACCCCCCGGGGCGGGGCCAATTTTGACCCCAGGGCTTTTATTTGAACAAACTTGGTTGACACTTATTAGAACATGTTTCATGCTAAATATCTTAGCTCTAACTCTTTTGGTTCTTTAAAAGAAGATTTTTTAAGTTTTTACTATATGCATATAGGGAAAATCAATGACCCCCTGGGTCGGGGCCAATTTTGACCCCAGGGCTTTTATTTGAACAAACTTGGTAGACACCTATTAGAACATGTTTGATGCTCAATATCTTAGCCATAGCTCTTTGAGTTCTTTAAAAGAAGATTTTTTAAGTTTTTACTATATGCATAGGGAAAATCAATGACCCCCCGGGGCGGGGCCAATTTTGACCCCAGGGCTTTTATTTGAACAAACTTGGTAGACACCCATTAGAACATGTTTCATGCTAAATATCTTAGCTCTAGCTCTTTGGGTTCTTTAAAAGAAGATTTTTTAAGTTTTTACTATATGCATATTGGGAAAATCAATGACCCCCGGGGCGGGGCAAATTTTGACCCCAGGGCTTTTATTTGAACAAACTTGGTAGACACCCATTAGAACATGTTTCATGCTAAATATCTTAGCTCTAGCTCTTTGGGTTCTTTAAAAGAAGATTTTTTAAGTTTTTACTATATGCATATAGGGAAAATCAATGACCCCCCGGGGCGGGGCCAATTTTGACCCCAGGGCTTTTATTTGAACAAACTTGGTAGACACTCACTAGAAGATGTTTCATGCCAAATATCTAAGCTCTAGCTCTTATGGTTTTTTAAAAGAAGATATTTAAAGTTTTTTCTTTCGGTTGCCATGGCAACCAGAGATCTGCATGGAATTAAATTCTTTGAACAATTTTTAAAGGTGACCACCAAAGGAACATTCCTGTGAAGTTTGGATGAAATTGGCTTAGTGGTTTATGAGGAGATGTCATTTAAAGTAAAAGTTTACGGACGGACGGACGCCGGACGAAAAGCGATTACAAAAGCTCACCCTGTCACTTTGTGACAGGTGAGCTAATAAAGAAGTATCAGTAAAAAATAGTATTTTTTAAGGAAAATTCTAAGTTCAAGGGGAGATAAATCTGAAAATATTGGTGCTAGAGTTATGAAACTTGTCACATAAGATGTGGTTGATGATAAGGAACATATATTTGAAGTTTGAAGTTGATACCTTACGAAATGAAAACTATTTTACTGCACCAAAACTTTAATTTGAAATCTGTAAAGGGATGCCGACGCCGACGCCGGGCGAGTAGGACAGCTCTCCACTTCGTATAGTCGAGCTAAAAAGTGTTTTATACACAGATGGTACATTAATGACTTAACACTTTAATCTTTGTTTTTAAATGTTAGTCCTAGAATGAATGACATTCATCATCTTTAATTAAACGTTGTTTGGTGTTCTTGTTTTTTTTCCAACAAAAATAATTTACAAAATTGCATGTATACTTTAAACAAAGTTGTTTTTTTTTGGAGTAAGAAAAGGAGAAAATACCTTCAATTCATACATAAAATAATAAATAGTTTTATATGTTAACAGATAGACAAATGTTAAAGTCGCTTTCCTTAACAGAAAGAGCATTCAAAATTTGCATTTAGTTTAAATCATAATCAAATTAGTAGAAAATAAAAGCTGCATTTACTGTTGTCCCCCCCCCCCATTAATCAGACTTCATTCAATTCATTTAAAGGATATACATATACCAAGTCTTATAAACAAAAGTTGAGAGAAAAAAGGAGGAGCACCAAAGCATATACCGCTAACAGTCAATTCTGGTGTAAAGTAGAGACTTTGTCATAGGTGAGTACATGTAAATAAATAAATGCGCACATAACATAAAAGATTTTGTAAACAAAATAAACAAATATATGATAAGAAAAATAGAAATTTGTAACATATTTGAATATGTACGAATACATAAAGAAGAATTCAAGGGTCAATGTGCAAAACTGCTGTAACTCGTATGCAGTGGGGTTCTTTTTAGGGCTTTTTTTTTCAATGCGAAATAAAATACTTCCCCAATCTTTACAGTGTATTTTCCTTACCTTTTAGCAAATGTCCCCTCCAAAATGAATACAAAATCATTATATCAGAACTTTTTACAACTTATGTTTTAATATTTAAAAACTTAAGATAGTGTTGCAATTTAAGAAAATTTTCACTGGTAATGTTAGCATCACTACAAATCATACTTCTCTATCATTTGTTCCGTTTAGTACGAAAATTATCACATAGATTTCCTATAAAAGGGACCAGCCCTTATTTTCTATTTCTACAAAGTTAAAATAAAAATCATTTGAATCGTATCTTTTTGGAGATAAAAATATTTTGCACAAAAACCCTTAAAATATTGATAAATATAAGAACAGACAAAATAAAAACAATTTTGAGCCTCGTCACGACAAAACCAACATAGTGCGTTTGAAACCAGCATGGATCCAGACCAGCCTGCGCATCCGTGCAGTCTGATCAGGATCCATGCTGTTCGCTGTCAGTTCCTCCACTTGTAATAGAGTTGGTAAGCGAACAGCATGGATCCTGATCAGACTGCGCGGATGCGCAGGCTGGTCTAGATCCATGCTGGTCGCAAACGCACTATGTTGGTTTTGTCGTGACGCGGCTCATTTATTGAAAACAGTTTTATCACAGACTAGACATATAATATCTGAAGTATACACTATTTTGATACAGTATAAAATTGATTTTAACTCAGTATTTTACAATCAATGATAACATAAATATCATGTAATAAAAATACCAGTATTAAGAATGAGAGAACAAAGCACAGTCCTCCTATAAAAAGACATACATTGTATTTTACAGTCATTTCATTACTAAAATGATAAATTCTATATTTTCAGACCATGACAACATATATCCTTGACCCCCTTCCCTCTGACCACCAGCTATGATCTTGAGCATGTTGGAATGATATGAGATGTTAGTAACTGGTTTGCCAAAAAATTTAGCTTTTATAAGAATCTTAATACTTGTAAGTTTACTAGAAATAACCTAAGACTGGATGATAAAATGTTTCTCAACACTGTCAGCAAATGGAGGCTAAAAATTCAACAAAAATCAATGGTAGACATGTTAGAAAATGAGTAAACTTTTCAATCATCACTGATTTAACCCTCAAGCCACTGAATATCTTAAACAGACTCATCCAGCTACTGTTTCTGGAACTGTCGATTATCAATTCTGGGATAAGAAAATGAAAATTTAAAGTTGGTAAGTCAGCACAGTGCCTAGTTAGACTACATAGATGCACAGTTAGGTCTGGCCTTATCCTGGTGGCAAAAGCTGAACACTTTCAGTGATTGCAGGTAAAAGGTAAATGTAAAACTAAAGACATCAAAAAGAGACTGGCTCTAAATATAGTCAGTACTGGTTGGGGACCACCAAAACCGGACAACCACCAAACCCGGACAGCCCCAAAAATGCTTAATTTAGTATTTTCTTTGTTCAGTGGTTGTCAGTCACTTTTTTTATCAACAATAAATTCATGTTTCTTCTAAAATAAAGTAAATAAATTTATTTCAACCTCCTTAAATTGTAATATTTTAATGTCTATTTCAAGAATGTTGACGTAGAAATTTGGGGGTCAAGAAAGAAATGCCTCACCTCGTATACCAGCTATAATCATTTGCAGAGTAAATAATAGAATATCCAAAACTTCAGCATTTGTTGCTGAAATATTTTTTAACATGTTAAAAATCAAAAATTAAAACACCAAAGCTTTTATCTGAATTAAATCACATCATGTACATATCTGTCCGGACACATGGTACTGTAGTGTAGACAATTTAGGTAATTTTGATACCCTCCTTGTCGAGCCTCAGATATAAGTGTCAATACAATCAGAAACAAGATATGTTTGTAAAACATGTATGCCCCCTATCAGCAGCCAATTAGTCATGTGATTAGGTTATTATGCATGACTTCTGACCCAGTGATCAAACAATTAATAAGGGTTATCAAGTATCTACTGGTCATGACCTTAACCTTTGACCCCTTGACCCAAAACTCAATAGGGGTCATCTGCTGGTCACAACCAATCATCATACAAAGTTTGAAGTTCCTAGGCCTAAGCGTTCTTAGGTAATTGATCAGAAACCGTTTTTAACATACAAGGTCAATGTGACCTTGACCTTTGACCCCAAAATCGATAGGGGTCATCTGCTGCTCATGACCAATCACCATGCCAAGTTTGAAGTTCCTAGGCCAAAGGGTTCTTTAGTTATTGATCAGAAACCATTTTTACTTACAATGTCAATGTGACCTTGACCTTTGACCCCTTGATCCCAAAATCAATAGGGGTCATCTGCTGGTCATGACAAATCACCATACCAAGTTTGAAGTTCCTAGGCCTAAGCGTTCTTAAGTAATTGATCAGAAACCGTTTTTACTTACAAGGTCAATGTGACCTTGACCTTTGACCCCTTGACCAAAAACTCAATAGGGGTCATCTGCTGGTCACGACCAATCATCATACAAAGTTTGAAGTTCCTAGGCCTAAGCGTTTTTAGTTAATTGATCGGAAAATGTTTTTACCTACAAGGTCAATGTGACCTTGACCTTTGACCCCTTGACCCCAAAATCAATAGGTCATCTGCTGGTCATGACCAATCACCATACCAAGTTTGAAGTTCCTAGGCCTAAGGGTTCTTTAGTTATTGATCGGAAACTGTTTTTATCTAAGAGGTTAATGTGACCTTGACCTTTGACCCCTTAACCCCAATATCAATAGGTCATCTGCTGGTCATGACCAATCACCATACCAAGTTTGAAGTTCCTAGGCCTAAGGGTTCTTTAGTTATTGATCGGAAACTGTTTTTATCTAACAGGTCAATGTGACCTTGACCTTTGACCCCTTAACCCCAAAATCAATAGGGGTCATCTACTGATCATGACCAATCACCATATCAAGTTTGAAGTCCCTAGGCCTAAGGGTTCTTTCGTTATTGATCGGAAACCGTTTTTCCCTACAAGGTCAATGTGACCTTGACCTTTGACCCCTTAACCCCAAAATCAATATAGGGGTCATCTGCTGGTCATAACCAATCACCATACCAAGTTTGAAGTTCCTAGGCCTAAGGGTTCTTTTGTTATTGATCAGAAACCGTTTTTACCCAAGAGGTCAATGTGACCTTGAACTTCGACCCCTTGACCCAAAATCAATAGGGGTCATCTATTGATCATGACCAATCACCACACCAAGTTTGAAGTTCCTAGGCCTTAAAGTTCTTTAGTTATTGATCGGAAACCGTTTTTGCTTACAAGGTCAATGTGACCTTGACCTTTGACCCCTTGACCCCAAAATCGTTAGGGGTCATCTACTGATCATGACCAATCACCATACCAAGTTTGAAGTTCCTAGGCCTTAAGGTTCTTTAGTTATTGATCGGAAACCGTTTTTGCTTACAAGGTCAATGTGACCTTGACCTTTGACCCCTTGACCCCAAAATCAATAGGGGTCATCTACTGATCATGACCAATCACCATACCAAGTTTGAAGTTCCTAGGCCTTAAGGTTCTTTAGTTATTTGATCGGAAACCGTTTTTTCCTAGCCTTACAATCGGAAACCGTTTTTGCTTACAAGGTCAATGTGACCTTGACCTTTGACCCTTGACCCCAAAATCAATAGGGGTCATCTACTGATTATGACCAATCACCATACAAGTTTGAAGTTCCTAGGCCTTAAGGTTCTTTAGTTATTGATCGGAAACCGTTTTTGCTTACAAGCGTCAATGTGACCTTGACCTTTGACCCCTTGACCCCAAAATCAATAGGGGTCATCTACTGATCATGACAATCACCATACCAAGTTTGAAGTTCCTAGGCTTAAGGTTCTTTAGTTATTGATCGGAAACTGTTTTGCTTACAAGGTCAATGTGACCCTTGACCTTTGACCCCTTGACCCCAAAATCAATAGGGGTCATCTACTGATCATGACCAATCACCATACCAAGTTTGAAGTTCCTAGGCCTTAAGGTTCTTTAGTTATTGATCGGAAACCGTTTTTCCTTACAAGGTCAATGTGACCTTGACCTTTGACCCCTTGACCCCAAAATCAATAGGGGTCATCTACTGATCATGACCAATCAACATACCAAGTTTGAAGTTCCTAGGCCTTAAGGTTCTTTAGTTATTGATCGGAAACCGTTTTTGCTTACAAGGTCAATGTGACCTTGACCTTTGACCCCTTGACCCCAAAATCAATAGGGGTCATCTACTGATCATGACCAATCACCATACCAAGTTTGAAGTTCCTAGGCCTTAAGGTTCTTTAGTTATTGATCGGAAACCGTTTTTGCTTACAAGGTCAATGTGACCTTGACCTTTGACCCCTTGACCCCAAAATCAATAGGGGTCATCTACTGATCATGACCAATCACCATACCAAGTTTGAAGTTCCTAGGCCTTAAGGTTCTTTAGTTATTGATCGGAAACCCTTTTTGCTTACAAGGTCAATGTGACCTTGACCTTTGACCCCTTGACCCCAAAATCAATAGGGGTCATCTACTGGTCATGACCAATCACCATACCAAGTTTGAAGTTCCTAGGCCTAAGGGTTCTTTAGTTATCACTCGGAAACCATTTGGTCTACGGACCGACGGACCGACAAGTGCAAAGCAATATACCCCCTTTTCTTCGAAATGGGGGCATAATAAACAAACTAGTTTGTTAGTTAAGAGAAGAACCTAGGTGAACTGTGTCAAATTTTTAGGTCTCTAGGTTAAAAATTATGAAATCTGTACGGAAAAATGTTCCAAAAGTGTCCGGTTGATGGTTCCCGACCAGTAGTGGAGAAAAATATAAAACAGTTGTCTCCCTTTGACTGTATAACAATAAATTATGAGAAAAAATAGCTAAACAAAATAAGAGAACAAAACATTATTATGCTAGCTTATATTCATAAAAGATAAAAATATCCAGAAACTGTTTTCTTTGGATAAGACCCGAGACTTCATAACTCGTACAACTCAAGTGAAGAACTGTTTCTGAAATGTTCATAAGTGATGATACATCATAGCTAGGCAAGTTTTTTTAAACAAATTCTTTGTCAAACTTAATAAATAAATTAGAAATACTGAAATTAATTTCTATTTTATACCAAAAAGTTTGACATGGACTTCTAAAACAAGTATCTTCAGACCACTAAATATAGTAGCATTTAAATCTATCATTATAAAGGTTAAGAAACAGGACTCTTAAAGTACAATACTGTTGTATAAAAATATACTGGTAATTATGCACATACATTGTTTGTTATATGCATATTTATTAGGGATTGCAACAAGTAACCGGTTAACTGAGTACTCAATCAGTTATCGGTTAACACAATTGATATCCGATTACTCAGAAAAAATAATTCCTTTTTTTATTTGCGATTAAGAAAGATTGGTGTAAAAAATTTAAGATGTACATGTATCTTCATAAATAACTCTTAAATGCAATCAAAACATCCTTGCAGAGGTGGGAAAATGATATTGTAAATTTAGCAAGGCTATCAACAGTTTGACACGCGCATGGGATTAAACAACTGTGTCGCTTACGTCATTAATTACCTTTAATTGTGTAACAGTTGGGAGCCGAAACTGTTTAACCTTTATTTTTAATTATAAAACATAAATATATGCTGTCATTGACGATGTCTTATGTTTATATTTATTATGGATTCGCTAGCTATATCCATTGACGCCAATCAGTCTATATTATTTCAAGAAGACAAAAATATATATGAACTGTTATACATGTTTTAAACTTGATATGGCATTAATTAAATCGTTGTAAAATATAATGTTGTTGATTTCATTTTAATTAATTTGTTTATTGGTTATTCTCAGTTTCCTCCAAACGAAAGAAGCATGCAGACGGTGTTGACATTGTGCAATAAAACTTTGAAAATTATTGGAAATCATCTCAGTAACCGAGTACTCGATCGGAAAAATGACCCGAGTATTGATTTTGGTATTCGTTGCCATCCCTAATATTTTATATAAGTTGATACACAATAGTCACAAACAAAGAAGACTATGAAGTGAGAAAAAAGCATTTAAGAAACAAAACATGGAATGTTAAACAAGCTGCCTATTTAGAAATGAAAAAATCAAATATGTTATCTATTGAGCAATGATTACTAACCTCTAGTAAAGCATTTTGATTGAATTTGAACAGTATATTGAAGTATGATCATTCATAAATATAAGTACATAGATTCAAAATTCTCGACAGAGTGACTTTCTTTTGTTATTCCTTATACCATAAATAATACCTCTTATACTCTGTGTTTGTGAGTAGTAGATAGTTTTCACATTCTTATATTGGACTTGAAATATAAAAAAGTAATATGGTACACATTAATGCTTCAATAATGCATTGGTTTATGCTAATCTTACTGGTATCCAGCTAGAGACAAAGAAACATTACATCAACAAATGTGGTAACAAATTAACATATGACAGTACTGGTTCCCTTCATAGAGAATAATACATTTCCAAACGTTCTTGACTAGAAGAAAAACAAGACGGTAAGCCGCATTCACAAAGTCTGTATTTGAAGTTTCCACAGAGGTAGAGGTTTTATAGCAAAGTTGACAGTCTTATTGTCTTTCCCACCAATAACTAGAATATAGGGGGGTTCAGCACACTGAGAAATCTGAAAAGAAAAATACATCAATACAGTCATTATAAAACCGATCCAGTATTTGACATACTGAACATTTAATTCTTTATCAAGAAGGAAATCTTTTGCTCTTGCAACATTTGTGGTATTACAGACGGTAAGAGAAATCTTTGGCATGCAATGATTTTTTGTGAGCGAGTGTTGGAATTTAGCATAACAATTAAGAACATTGTAGTAATGTATGTAGCATAAAGTCCAACTTTCTTGAACAACTTCACTTCAATATCATCCTTTAAACACAGGGCAGTGTTTATCAACATCTTTTAAAAGGTCTGGTAAATGGACCCACTAGAAATGTCACACATCCCTCCTCTTTTCCCAAAATGATGGTGATCAAATATTCCTAATTCATAATCTTAGTTTATTTCACAACTCAAAAGATTCCAAGTGGGGCAGACTCACGCCTGTTTCCACAAGGTGAGCAAAAAATCTGCTGCATTCTTTGTCAGATTTTCATAAAGATAGAAACTGATCATGCTTGGCTATTGTATTCAAACATGAGCTTCTTGTAGTACAGCATGCTCTACTAATCTCAGTGATTGATAATATAACAAGAGACTGGATAATGTTGAAAACTGTTAGAACTTATAAGATCAAAAAGGCCATAATTCTGTAAGAGTTATAGGCCTTGAACAGTGACTTTCTATTTTGCTTTCCACTAATTCCCTTCAGCAGTTCCTTTTTATACCAGCTTGCAGGCAAAAACTTAACCACAGTGTGACAAAGACGCCCACCCCTAGGTGAGTACAATAGCTCTCCCTATTCTTGAAGTAAGGTCAAGCTAAAATAATAATAATAATGGATATTACACATCTGCTTATGTGAAAACACTTCTTAATCAAATGATATTTTTCAAGAAATAATTCAGTCATAAAGACTATATCATTTCTTAAGATACAGAACAATCTGAGACAATGAGACTATACAAAGCAGACCTTTAACTTTATGATAAAATTTGCAATGATTAATTTTAGATGAAGTTAAATGTAGCTATTAATGAAACAGTACTAGGCATTGATTAGAATGACATAAGGAGAGCAGTGACCTAGTGGTTAAAGTGTCTGTCTCTCAACCCAGGGATTGTGAGTTCAAAACCTAATGTGTTCAAGACAGTGTTTCCTCATATGAAAACAATATCAGTAAAATCTAGGAACTAGAATCCACAGCGGTTTTACTAAGCTGAAATATTTCTTTATCATCAAGCTTAAATCAAAATGTTTAAACTAAAATAGCAGGAATACTAACTAACCTTTGGTGGAGATTTTGTATTTTTACGATAAATGCCAGATACTCTCTCATTCTGAGGGTTATTTCCACTATAAAAACTGGTTTCCATTTCATCTCTAGACGGGTCCTTTGTCAAATTTTTCTGCTGTATTCTAGGTAGACAGTCCGAGTCATGACCGATCGCCAACATTTCTGCGGATTTTGAAATGTTTTCTCTATTTTTAACATTTTCTACATCATTTCTACTATGTAAGCCACTAATCTGCACAGATTGACTTTTCCTATCAAATCGAATACTTTTCTCAGTAATGTTCTCTCTTGCATGTGAAGATTTCTGCACATTGTTACCTTTTTGGCAATATTCCAACTCTATTGTCTCCAAATTCCCTGAGTCATGAAACAATGAGTCCACAGATTTAAACGAAGAAAACCTGTAAGGAGTAGAATTTGGATACGGAATCTGAATATCATGTGGAAAGCAGTCTAAATGTTCTATATCCTCAACAACTAATTCTGGATCTAGTCTCGACTTTTTCACTATATATTTTTCCCAACTATTTTTACCTTCATTGTCAATACAGTCACAGCTTCCGGATATAACAGATACTAATGACACTGGTTTGTTATCAAACTCGTTCTTACGTTTCTCTTGTTCTGTGGCATAACTCAGAGACCTCATAAATGGGGATGGACGGTTTTTATCACATAGAACTTCAGTTTTTAACCGGGCCTCCTTCAAGTGGCTTTCACGTATAAGTTCCTCCGTACTGTCTGAGATACCTGGATTGTCGAGACCATTATTAACTGTGTTTCTGTCCAACATGTCAATGGCGTTATAATTAATATCCATTCTCTTTGGACACAGCGGAGATTTATCTGCAGTATTCTCCGAAGGAGACGGCTCCAGTTTTAAACTTTCCTCACTACCGTTACCGTATAATTTCAAACTATCAGGTTTGTCAACATTCTTTACTTGTATATTTGTGCTATTTTGAGAATGACTTCTACTCCTACTTCTTGACGACACAGATTCTTCGACATGCAAGCTGTCCTGTGATCCAGATTTTTGCAAGAGTCTATTAGATCCAGAGGTTCCTAACCGAACACCTGGGCTAGATCTAGGTCTTTCTAAATTTAGCTTAGAAATTTTTTTCTGTAGATAGGGAACTGAGCTGGCTTTTACAGAATTATCTTGTTGGTTGCTAGGGGTGATGAGCAAAGCAGAATGGAATGTTCGTGATGGTATTTGATCTGATAACATAATCTGTGTCCATCTTGAAATTCCTGAAACATTTCAATTCAAAATTCTATCAAATATACTTTTTACTTTAAGTCTGATTATCTCTGAAGCCCTTATTTCATAAAAATTAATTAACTTTCATTTGGAATAGACATGCATTTAAACAAAAATATATTTTTTTTTTTCATGCTCAGTGTGAAACACAACTGTTGTGAAATTAAAACTAAAAACAAATATTTTAACTGATAATCTATTTGTATTGTTTATTATACATAATAAGTTATAATACCGTGAAATGTTATAGAACTGTCTGGATGCTTGACTATTTTTGGGGGGACTTGATAGTAAAGCGAAACATACTGTACATAAAACTTTCAATTATTACCGGTAAGCAAAACAATCAAGTAAAATTCCATTCTTGATTGTCCACTGACAAGACAACCATGAAAATAGTCATGTGTGCAGTTTAAAGAAATTGTTAAAAAAAAAATTTGACCAGAAATTTTGCAAGCTGGAATAATTCACACACACAAAATAATTCCATCTCACAGTTTCACATCTTTGTCATTGACACTTAATTCATGACCTTAAAAATATATTTTAAGTTTTCGAATGATCTGTCATACTTAGTGAAAAAATGAACTTGTTTAGAACACAAACTGTTCAGTAACACTGGTCCCCCTTATTGTTTATATAGATAAAACAATCACTTTCCATAATATTGGAAATTCCACCAAAATAAGCAGAGCTGGGAAATAAAGTGTTGAAAAAATATCTCTATTAAGAATTTTAGAATGTTTTTACTGTTACATATCATATGCCGAAAAACTACATACAGCAGGTCAAAACAACATTCAAAAACTTTGTCAGTCTATTCATTATCAAAGAACAGAAAAAGGAATGCGAACAAAATGCAACCAATTGGGAATTTCAACATCACAATTGGGAAAATCTGTAATGTTTTGGCATTGAACATACTTCTTTTACTGAACAGAACTTTATTGAGAGTAAATGGGCCTATGTGCATGCATTTCAGAAAAAAAGAGACATTATAACACTTACTGAAGCAAAAGTACCATAATTGATTGCATGGTTCCCTGCTGGTCTCACCTCCAAATATAAACATCCGGGTACCAATCTAAAATATATTATACAACCTTAAATATGTACTTTTTGCTTTAAAACAAAACCAAACAAATCATACAAATCAGAATATTGTCACAATTTTCATTCTTAAATATTAAAACTAACATATATAACATTTTTTCTGACAATTATATTGCTTCTTTTCTTCTTTTATTTCCCTTTTTTTATTTTGAATGTCAAAACATTTATTTTGGGCCTAGACATTGTGCTTGTAAGGCAAACCATACAACTGCTACTTGGGTAACCAGTTATGGCACCAGTTTGGATTGTTGGAGCCGAAAGAGAGTCTCACCTCTGGTGTAAATCAAACCCACAACCTCCTGATTAAGCAGACTAGTCTCTACTGATACACTTCTACTAATTATGATATTCCCTGTATCAACCAATAAAATGAAATAATTCCCTCACTCCCCACCCCTTTTTGTCATTTATTTTCATTGGTTGGGTTTTACAACACACCAACACTGTAAAAGTCATAATGTGACTTTCTGTTTTGTCCTAAGTTTTATTGGTTTAGGAAGATCTAAGAACCTGCTTTGAGCATTAATTCAAGCATATGCAGCCATCTTAGTAGAACCACCACCTTCCACATGTAAGCTAGATGGCTTTCTAACTTGATAGAACATGTAAGTTACAGGCAATGACTTGAACCACCAGTGATGAGAGGTATGTGCTTCTAAAATGATGATCATAACCACCAGACTAATAACGTCCCCTGGTCTTTTCTTACAGAAAAATTTACATCACTGTCTTAAATTTTGCATTGCTTTTATCATTTTTAATCATAGTATTTAGAAATTTTAACTAAATGAACTATGCTTAATTTAAGGTAGCAGGAGTCTACTGCACAAATTCAGTAGGTTTAGAGCTCATACAATTATTATACTGGCATGAATCTTTAACAACTACCCAATTATAAACAATTAAATACAAAATGTATAACCATCCTAGAAAAATTATATATAACTATATATACCACTGTAGCTGTGTGTCCAGTTAAGGCTGGAGGTGAATACTTCAACTTGATTCTCTCCCATCTGTTTGCACCTATATAATACAAAACACAATGTTATACAGTCAAACTTGTATTAAGCGACCGCGCAAGGGAAACACCCAAAACGGTCGCTTAATGAAATGGTCTCTTAAGACAAAGCATGATATAAAAGTCAAAATTTATAAATGACATTTTTCTTTTGCGGTGGGATTGTTTTTTCAACTTCATTTATATAAATGTTGAATAATTAGTATGCTCCGATAATCTAAATGGACACTTAGGTAAAAAATAACTTTCTGATATTTATTGACAAAACAGTTTTGATCCATTACGTACATGTTTGACATTTTTCCAGAATTTTTTTTTACTTCTTGGTTGTTTTTCCTTGTCTCCAACACGAAAACCCTATTAGTGAAAATGTTTTCTGTAGTGCATTTTTTCATTTGAAATAAACAAACTATATCTAATTGTTACGATTAATTTAATTGCTGATCAAGTTCAAGGTCAATTTCATGCAGTCTAAATGTCAACAAGCGAAGCGCATACACCATCTCAGTAGGGGGGAGCATTGCATTGTTTATCCGATTTTATTGGATAATACACGTCACGAGTATACTTAACTTCTTTTGCATACGCTAAAACAGTTTGGGAAATAGAGTTTTTCACACATTTATTTGTTGTGTTTTGACTGTTGACACTTGTGACATTACGAGGCGGCGTTCTCTAAAAACACAATTACTAATGACAGGTAAAAGCGGTTGTTTAATGAAAAGACTGATCTCAATTATGTGACTAATTAGCGGTCGCTGGTCGCGTTGAGCAAAAGTCGCTTAATACATTAAAGATATAGAGAGAAAATGATCGGGGGGATTTAATGTGGTCGTTTAAGACAAAAGTCGCTTAATACACGTGGTCGCATGGGCAAGTTAGACTGTATATTGATTATTGGATAACCCCCAGCCGAACCGTTCACATTTATGTTATGCTACAAGTTAATTGTGTGTATCCAAAGATGTATATATTCAAGTCTTTTTGAAATTTCTCAGATATTAGATTAGTCAGAATCCTTCACAAAATGTGCAATGAATTCAGAGAAAATCCTGTTATTATTGTTGTTTGTTGTTGTTAAGACAGATAAGAGGATGTATGTATTTAAACAAAATCTAGTGATATGTATTTCAAAAGATATACCATGTGTAAGATTATTGTATATTATGCTTGCATATAAAGACTTGACCCAGGACTGGTTTTATATGAGGGCTTAAATTTATGATCCTTGTATTAAGAGGATATTAACTTTTTAGCCACCTCACTTTAGTGGTTAGAAGTTAGCAACCCTAATGGTTTCCATGAGAGTTAGTTTGGAAATCAATTCTTTCTTAATTTATTCCAGTGACTTCCAAAATGACATGGTTTTCCCTCTTTACCCATACATATATACCTATATGACTTCCCATTTTTTCAAATTTTGAAACTTAATAGAAGCTCTGAACACTTATCACTCATCCATGGAAAGAAAACTACATGTATATGATTTACATTACATTTAATAATTACCAAAACTATAACTCCAGAGATCTTGTTTAGCTGAGAGATCTGTACTTCCTCCATACAGCCACATATGTTTGTTATATACGACAGCTGTGTGACCATGACGACCACTGGGTGTGTCTCGTATATGTTGCCGTGGTGATATAAGTTCCCATTCCTCATCATCTGAAATAGCAGGATATACATTAATACACCAAAAATAAAACCAAAATAAAGATTAGCAAGCTGTACAAACATTTTGGAAAAACTCAATAAATTGTAGATTTTTTGCATAAAACTCTCAGCAAGAAAGATATAAATGTGGCAAGTAAATGAAAACGTGTTTATGAATAAACATTACTCAACTTATTGTTCCAGACCTCTTTTCTTTATACTCGAACCATTAAACTGATATTTTCTTTTATTTATGATAATACAATCATATTTCTATCCGGCGACTTGATGCTTTAGCATCAAAATCTCTACTTGTTTTCTTTGTATAAATTATACACAAGGTTTTCAAAAGCGGGTGGGGGAGTTAATTAGGGTGGGGGCAATAAATTGGGATTTTAAGGTATATATAACTGTTCTTATTTATTGGCCGGTTCTAATCCCTCTGACAATATTGAGATCATATAGAACCTCTGCTAAATCACTACATAGGACCTGTAGGTCAATGGAGAAATTCCAACCTAAATAACGAACATAAAACAAATATGTTTCGCAATGTTTTAGGAGGTGCCCCAAATATTCCTCTATGCAATATTTTATACAGGTACCGGACCAATTGGCACCATCCTACAAAGTAACAACATAGAGCCTGTACATTGATGGGGGAATTCCAACCAACATTAATAATGTAAACATGATTATGAGGATAGTGACTGAACTACTCTGTCATGGAGTAACCTTAATCAACATCTTTCTAAAACTTTTCTTTCATTTTTTTAACTAAACCATGTAAATAAGATAATGAACCTAACACTATAATATACTGTCTTACCAACTAGATATTTCCAGAGTTCAGAACTTGACCCTTTCATATCTATATAACCTCCGTAGACATACATCGCACCATTGTCAACAACCGCTGTATGATGTCGTCGTATACACGGCCTCTCTGATCCAGGGTCTAACACTGATTTTCTTATGTAACCCAGATCTAAAAACACAAAATATAATAAAGTAAATATATCAAGAAAACATTTTCATGTTTTATGTTGTTGCAATTTTGATATTAGGATTGTTTTTTTTGCACCCAATTAGTTTTGCTACTCTTTAAGTCTGTACAAACTTGCAATTATTGGAATCAAGGGGGAGGAAGTGTTACACGAAGGATGGAGTTCTAATGATAACTTGTCAAGGAGTACTTGTGATAACTGTCACAGAGTTTGTCAGAAAACTTTTGTAAATATTACAAAAACACTGGTCAAAAATGGTAAATTTCATTTTTGAAAAGTGAGTTTTAGATGATTAATCTTGCCATACATCTTGCATTAAGCTTGCCATACATCTTGCATTATGTGTGAAAAACGAAAAACTAATTCATAGTCCCTTTTTCATTGCCTGTTGCTTAAAATCTGGTAGTTTTGAGTAAAATTTCCAAATTATTTGCCAATTCGCAAGTACTAACCTGTTTATTTCTGGTCTTCATCCTTGCCATACATAACTACCTAATTATAATGCAAAATTGCAAACATAAAGCCCTGTCTGACAAATTTTTACCTGATTTTTTAAATGTCCTGATTTTAAGCAAGAGGCCTATGTATTAGTTTTTGACATAATACAAGATGTAATACAAGCTTAATCATTAAAGTTTAATTTAGCACATAAAACTCACTTTTTAAAGATGAAATTTATCATTTTTGATGAGTTTTTTTTGTAGTATATGCAAATGTTTTCCGACAAACTCCACGACAGTTATCTATAAGTTCCTCCCCCATGGGAATTTAAATTTCTTTAGTCTGGTTGTTTATTATGTAGGTTTGTCCAGTTTGAGCAATTTGTGGGATAAATTCATAAAATTGAGCAGTTAAGTGTGTTAAAATGTTTGTATGACAGATAAGTTACCTGCTCTGGCTCTATTCTGGTACCGTAAGTCCTTAGTTATACCCACTGCTTACACACAAAATTGAATCAATTGAATATTCAGTATGTGCACATAATTATTTACCTGGATTAATTATCCAAAGTGAAGATTCTGTCAAAGCATCACCAAACTCACCACCAAATAACAGTAATAATTTCTGAAACACCAGAAAATATCAGAAGTCATAAACAAATCATTTACAAACATGATTTGAGCCGCGTCATTACAAAACCAACATAGTGGGTTTGCGACCAGCATGGATCCAGACCAGCCTGCGCATCCGCGCAGTCTGATCAGGATCCATGCTATTCACTATCATTTTCTCTACTTGCTATTATAAGGGTTTGTTAGCGAACAGTATGGATCCTGACCAGACTGCAAGGATGCGCAGGCTGGTCTGGATCCATGCTGGTCGCAAACCCACTATGTTGGTTTTGTCATGACGCGGCTCATTTGTATGTATAAATTTATCTCGGAATACAATGACATCAAATGGTTGGAAAAAAAAACAGTAAAGTGATGGACTCTGATACAGATTTTTAAAGAATTTAACATAATTTCACAAATGTGCTAAAGCAGTGCATGAAAGATTAACATCTTTCCCAGTTTTCTATTTTCAACAGGACTTTAACTAACTTACCAATATACTGTATGTTGCTTACCACAGGACATTGTCTATCTTACCACAGGATTATGTTGTTGCTTACCACAGGACTTTGTAATGTTAACCACAGGACTTTGTCTATTTTACCACAGGACTTTGTGTTGCTCACCACAGGACTTTAACTAGCTTACCACAGAACTTTGACTAGTCTACCAATATAATTTGTGTTTCTTACCACAGGACTTTGTCTATGTTGCCACAGGATTTTGTGTTGCAGTGTTGCTTACAACAGGACTTTGACTAGTTTACTACCAGTTTACTATAGAATATTATAAATTTTGTCTCCTTTACCACAAATTTACTACAAGAATGCATAGCTTTCACAATGACTTTGTGAAGTTTACAAATGGGTCACTACAAGAGTTCCATCTTATGGTTAACCACACCATCTTGCATAGCTTTCAACAAAATTGTGCAGCTTACCTCAAGACTTTGTCTGGCTTACTACAATACAAACTCTGCACAATACAGCTTTTAGGTGACACGGATATTGTTTGTTGCTGATAGGTGTTGCTCGGGGGGAGTTTAAACTATAACAAAGTCTTAATATGGAAATGGAAGCTGTGATAAAGAGGTTATTGCTCAATAAAGTGTCACTCTACAGAGGTTACACTGTACTGACTAGAATCTCTGAAAACTGTCACCTGCCATGTCATCAATATTCCTTTGATGAATTCTTGACAACTAACTTGTCATTAAATATGTAGAAGATATTCTTGTTTTTAGGAAAATAGGGAAAACCATTAGTAAGTGAGGAATTTCAAATATTTGTAAACCATGAAATATTTAACTGTTAACCATTACAAAACTTTGTTTGCTAAATCACTTGAAAACAAGATGTAGGAATCACACAAAATGTTTAAAGGACACTTTGTTTAATACATCCATAAAAAAATGGAAGTGAAAAAATTTGGGGGGAAAAGCCACCTTTTTGTTCTGTATAAAGAATAACCGCTATACCCTGATTGTGATCTCTAGTTGATATATCTCAGGGTAAGTGTATCCCAAATGTTAATCTCTAACTTGTACTTTCACATAATTTAGTTATTATTTTCAATCACTATCCTAAACTGAAACACAAATAAACCAAAAACATCTCCGAAATAAAGGTCTAAATTCAAAATATGCAATAAATCTTACTTTGCATGACACCAGAGTATGACCTTCTAAATGTTGGGGACTGTCACCACGGAAACTGAGCAACTCCCATTTCTGATTGCCTGAAATAGACATGTATGCAACATATATAAAAAGACAATTTCTACAGCAAAAAAATACTATTAAAGAAATATCCTAGTCCTTACCCTGCTGAATCTGTGAAATGCATTTTCCTTGCTTTGATTGAAACAATCCATTCAAAGTTGAAGTAATTTCAGTACCAAAATAAACAACAAACAAGAACCGGTTGAACCGGGTGATGCTCTGGACACAGGAAAGTATAAAAAAAATGAACAAAGGGCAAAAACTCAAAATTTAGGCAAAGCGGAGTTATGTTTTTTTGCACTGCACTTCTATTCAATTAGATCTATCTATCTATAAAGTTACCTGATGATATCAGAGTTATGTCCAAGGTAAAATTCAAAGTGTAAAAATGAAATTAGGGTAATAACTCCAAAATTAGACCAGGCTTTGTTTAGGCTCTTTAAGCATTGCAGTTCTATCAAATTATATTTAGCTACCTACAAAGTTTCATGTTGATATCTCTAATAGTTTTAAAGTAATGTCCAGGTCAAAAGTCAAAAAGTAAAAATAAACAAAGGGCAATTACTTCAAAATAAGGCAAGGTAGAGTCATGATTCTTAAGCACTGCACTTCCACCCAATGAGACATATCTATCTACAAAGATTCATGTTGATATCTCTTATAATTTTAGAGTAATGTCCCAGACAAAGTTCAAAGTTTCAAAATGAACAAAGGGCAATAACTCCAAAAGTAGGCAAGACTGTTACAGTTCTTGTGCACTGCAAACTTACTCAATGAAATATATCTACCTACAAAGTTTCATGTTGATATCTCTTATACATTAAGAGTTATGTCCTGGACAAAGTTCAAAGTGTAAAAATAAACAAAGGGGGATAATTCAAAAATTAGGCAAGGCAGAGTTAAGGTTCTTGTTCACTACACACCTACTCAATGAGATCTATCTACCTACAAAGTTTCATGTTGATACCTCTTATACTTTTAGAGTTATGTCCCGGACAAAGTTCAAAGTGTAAAATAAACAAAGGGGGATAATTCAAAAATTAGACAAGGCAGAGTTACGGTTCTTGTGCACTGCACACCGACTCAATGAGATCTATCTACCTACAAAGTTTCATGTTGATACCTCTTATACTTTTAGAGTTATGTCCCGGACAAAGTTCAAAGTGTAAAATAAACAAAGGGAGATAATTCAAAAATTAGGCAAGGCAGAGTTACGGTTCTTGTGCAGTGCACACATACTCAATGAGATCTATCTACCTACAAAGTTTCATGTTGATACCTCTTGTTGTTTCAAAGTTATGTCCCGGACAAGAAAAGGGGACGGACAGACGGACAAGGCGGCGACTATATGCTCCACCCGAAATTTTTTCGGGGAGCATAAAAAAGAGCTAGTAAAAGATTTGAACCTGGTCAGACTACAGGGTGTTCAAGCCAGTCTGGTTTTATACTGGTGGCAAAGGCCAATCTTTTTTCGGTTCCAGATGCTAAAGGGCTAATCAATAGTAATACTGAGCCTTTTCCACTGTCATATTATGATAAAATGTTTTTCTCTACATGAAAGAGACTGAATTCAAAACAGTTTAAAAATAGATGTATAGTGACAATCAAGTATAAAAGACTCAGTAAGTCCATTCTTACAAAATACATATACATGACCTGCCAGCCTTCTTGACTACCCAATCTCATCTATATTTTCTCACCAAAGTTCACATCTAAATTATAATACATGCATATTAACTTACTTAAACTGAATCTCCAGAAATCCTTGAGAGAAATATTGCCATCTTTTCCAGCAAACATATACACGTAGTTTTCGTGTAGACAGGACACATGCTTACATCGGGATTGCGGGTAATCAGCTTTTGATGAAAACTTAATCTGGTGGCATTTACAAGTAACATGAGTCTCTAATGGTCGTGTTGACATAGTTATTGTTGTGGTAACCAAAGCCCAGATTTCAAATCCATTGTCTTAATGTGACATCTTTGCTGAAAACTAAAAAGAAAAACAATTTAAAAAAAAACTTTACAAACATGTACTCTGTAAGTTGATATTTTTGCAAATCAAAATAGTTCACAAAATCATAATTTTGGAAATGATAAGGCATTTGGTATGTGTAAATGTTCTCAAATCCTGAATCCTTCTTTTTTGTAAAATCTACTTTTTCCAATAATAAATACTTGATTATAGATAATAACATCTGATATTATGGAATATACCCGCTTCATTAATACTTGCCGTCTGCACAATATGAATTAAATGAACAGTGTATTAATGTTTAAATACCTGGTATTTGTTTCATTAAACAAGCAGATTTATCAATCATATGTGTCATCTGCATTTATTATGGAATGAGTAAATGGTTAAAGAAAATGTTAACTTCAATATTTATCTTGTTTCCAGGAGAAGCAGGTACTTTTCCGTTGCTTTATGTAACTTCTTAATTTTTCATGTGAATATTGCTAACATTTCCATGTCGCAAACATTACCACTAAAAAGTCTTGTATATATACTACATTCATAGTCATCAACAAAATCTTATTATGATGCATTGGCTATTAGCACTCTTGATCAAATCATAAAAGCATAATTCAGTTTTAATAAATCATACAATGCTGAAATCGAAACTGCATTGCAAAGTCTTTGGCAAACATCTGAGCACTCTGACAAGGCTATCCCACTTATAAACTGATACTGTATAGAAGTAACAAGAGCTATCATACAAAAGGACCTGAATTCACAAATTCAGCTGTATTCCCTTTCTTAAAAAGTTTATATTTTCCTTTATTTTTGTAAAAGAATTCCCTTAAATTTTTTTTACCCGACTTTACCACCCAAAGGTTCTTAAGAATATCTTACTGAACTTTGCTTTTGCAATAATCTGTTATAGTCAGTGTAATCATGAGTAATTGTCCTAATTTACAAATGTATGTGGAGCAAAAATTGCTCACATTTCCCCTACCAGGAAAACATCAGGAAAATCCGCCCTCCTATAGGTACAAGTACTGTTCTAAAACAGAGAGAGAGAGAGCCCTGATACTAACGTGACTATATGTATTGTTCACAAGAATTACCAGAGGAAAATACAAATTACTCTGATACTTATTCTATTATTTTCAATAAAAAAGAAATCATTTATGCACAAAGACGCCTACATGAAAAATCATAAAGGCAGTATCTAGACTGTAATAAATCAACATGTTGCATGGATAACAAAAAATATATATAAAATTACCAGGCCAGTTAACAATAGCTAATGTTTTCATAAACTGCCAATGGTATATAATACATAAAGTGGTACAACAAAACATGCTGTGGCAACAAATCATTTCAGTAGATTTGGTAAAACTTAAACTTTCTTATAAGCTGCATACTCTAATTTCATTTCTTGTGTGTTTTAAAGAAGTATTGATTTAGCAATAATAGAAAACACATCTATAACATACTAAAATATTGACCCTTAAATATTGACAAAATGATATAATATAAATCCAATATCATATTCATGTCATTATATTTCCTTAATCATTTAATGCACATAATATCAATATTGCACACATTTTACTACAAGATAAATAAATACCATTCTTACGAGTTGCATATATACCAATATTGCAAACTTCTTATTATAACATAAATTACCAAACCAATCTTATGAGATAAGAATATCAATATTAAAACATACATTACAAAACCAATCATATGAGTTGCTTATATACCAATATGCACACTTCTTACTATAAGATAAACTAAAATATGCTACCAATTATTTATCAATATTGCATAATAAAAATATATACCAATCAAATAGAGCATAAGATATTTTTTAATTAATATTGCAAACTTCTTACTACAATATAAATATATACCAAATTTCCAATCTAACCATGAGATACTTATATACCAATACATGTACTACACACTGCTTACAATAACATAAATATATACCTATCTAAGATTAAATTCCTATATTGGAATTTGCACACTTCTTTCTGTAATATAACTATATACCAATCTAAGCATGAGATGATTATATGCCCATTCTACACACTTCTTACATTTAATACATTAAATACAAACTGTATATACCAGTCTAAGTATGAGATGATTATTTGCCAAATTGTTTTATACTACACACTACTACACATATACAAATCAAATAAGCATAAGACTTATGATGTTAATTACCTATAATAAAAATTGCACACTTCTTACTGTAAATAAATTTATACCAATCATTATACATCAATATTGCATACTTTTTATTATATATTATATACCCATTTTGTTATTAAATTTCCTTAATAAAGCCAAGCTATAATATACATGTAGATGTACTAAAATACCTTGAATAAAAACATAAACTAATTGATGAATAGAAACTCACTTGACACTTGATTGCCATCTGCTTTAGAACAATAGAAAAGTAAATCCAAACAATCATATCTTAAGACATTTATTGAAATTCTACACTTTGCCATCATCCACTACAATTAACAATTGTGAAAGGGGAAATATGATACATAGATATTTCCCTTGGTACTTCAAATACAATGTCATCACATTCTTTACTAACACTAGCATATAGTATGATAGCAAAATGATACTAAAATTACCATCATTATCATACCATAAATAGACTTCAGGTAGCATATTTTTGACATGGTTTACTTTCTAAAAAATTATTTTGTGACAGTCTTTTCTCTCTATTTCAAAAGTGAATACATGTGATTTATATTATAGTCATAGTATAATATTTTGTTCAATTATTAAATCTATTACTCCATAAGTAACAGATAACCCATCCATATGGTTCACCTGAAACAGTGATAGAATACAAAAATGGCATAAGACATAATTGACAACAACAATATTACCATGGCAATTAATGACTGAGATGTACCTGATATTCCGCAGTGTTTCTTCTCAGTTAATAATCTAGTTTGGGTTCCCCAAAATGGATATCTTTTAACCATAAAATAACTACAAGCGCATAAATTTTGGGAGGAAAAATCTCACAATTCCACAGCAAATTAGGAAGACTGATATCATAGGAATCGAGAAAACCATTTTTTCCCAATGCCAATAAAAACATTCCCCAACAGTTGCCATTTTTTTTAACCTTTTCAACTTGTGAGAAAACATCAAAAGTTCAGACTTGTTTCTTAAAAGAAGTGTCATGTTATATGATCATACAGTATGAGTAAAAATAAAACAATGTATTATAGTTATCCAACTTTTCAACACTTCTCAAATTGCCCAAAATGGTGAGTGTTTTTAACAAATTGTATCCAGATGTCATTTACCAAAACAGCAAAAAATGCACTTGATTATTTTGCCTGGTGACATCTACTTTTATATGTATGTCTGTAGTATTAATTATATACCTTCACAAATACACTAAATCATAGTTCCAAAGGGAATAAACTGTAATGAGATGCTGTTAGAGTTAAATCTATTGATAAAATCAATATGCTTGTTTTTCTCTCTCACATAATGCTTATTTAGCAAGTGAATTATATGTTTTCATCAGTACTACTAATTTATGTTCTATGACAAAATTAAACAGCACAGGTTGAAACAGTTCACATCTTATACTCTTTCAGTAAGAAAAGTTATTTTAAAATGTACAGTTATCTTGTAAAAAGTTTAACAAGAGGCCCGTACATTGTATGTGTTGCCAATACTTTTCTTGACAAAAAATCTTCCTCTTCAACAGTGAGATCCATTTATTCTTGTATAATTTTCCTCCTATAGCCGGTATTGAACAGATTAAAACAATTATCATTATCCTTAACCCTCACTACCTTATATATCACAAATAGACTTGTCCATCTTTAAATCTGGACAAAACCATTCTTCAGTTTAAGGGAAACTTTCAAAATAGCGTACTATCTGTGTAGCTAACAGTATAGACCATGATCCTGTGCCACAGATTTGCCAGCTGTTCTTGGTCTGCACGGGTCTGGTGTGGGCAGAGTCTGTAGCCACCAGCAGGCCAGAGGTTTATATATAAACTACAATATGTTTTATAACACCAGTCAATGAATTTAAGATTTTGAATTTACTAGCCTGTATTACAGTTTTTGAATTTATTCTACTATATATTTAACTTTTCTTAAAATTTTCACTGGCCAATAGGCCACTAGCTAGCTGGGCCAGTGCTAAATTCGATGACTGTAACACCCCTAATTTCTTTATCATAAAGTGTAAAACAACTTTCATTTCTTATTACATTCTATTCAATATTCTTGTGTTGATAATAATTCACACAGAACACTAATATACTGACCTTCGTATTGATTCTAATATAACCCAATTCAATAAATAAACACACCTTACAATTAATTATAGCTATAAATGAAAACCCTGCATAATAAAAGTATTTAGTATTTAAACAAACAACATACTGCTGTTCTGCTCTCTACTGGACACACAGGAGACAAAAATAATCAATGGAAACATTTTCAAAGATAATCATCCAATTCTAATAGATCCGTCTATACTTTTGAATGAATGCCAGAAGACTTTCTGCAAATCAGCAATTTCCCAAAATATCTGTAAATATGCAAATAGGCACTGAGCAATGTCGTAAAATAAATCTACAATGTGGAAATGAGCATATTCAACTTTAGCCATAAAGACTGATAAAGTGCCTGTAAAAGTAGGAAAGGATTCACCAAGAAGTTTCCATGATTATCCAAGAGTCTGTTAGTAAATTAATAACTTTGTACTTACATGTACATCCATAAGGCATGCTAAATTGTGATCAAATTCATGAGTCTTTCATAAAAGTCTAAAAATACAACACTGCTAATAGTTTATTTCAAAATTTAGAGATCAGAATGCAGTAGAATGTATGTACATGTGATATACTTGCTGTTATATATTATTATTATAATGTATTGATAATTTTTAAGCTAAGATCATAAATCTTGAATTTTTTACACAAGTATTCTTTAAAAGCAGTCTACATTTCAAAGATATCCTTCCTTAATTTATCAATTCTCTTTTTTTAAAAAGTTGTTAAGATTTTAATTTCCCTCAGGTATTGAACTTCATGTATGTTATTTCCTCCCATACATTTCTATCCATTATTAATAAAGCGAGACTCATGAAATTATGACAAACATAGCTGAATTTCATTTTGTTTAACTGAATAGATTTGCCTTAGTAAATTTCATTTACTTTTATGATAAAATTCTCAGTCAGTTTTTGTTTAATTAAAAATCAATTTTAGATTCTGGCTTATAATCATAATCATTTTTCCTCTCAGAAAGGACCAGCCTGTTTCAACAAGAAAAATCGAGTTAATCTCTTGTTAAGTACATTCATAAATTACATGTAAGTCAACATATTTTCATGGATAAAACTCTCAAAAGTATTATGCATATTTGAACAATTTCATTATCATTTATAACAATTTTCTCAATAGGAAAAAAAAACTTTAAAACACTAAATTGATATATGTCAGATCCATTGAATAGTGGATTTAATATCAGTCAAAGAAAACCCAGAGTGATTAGACTTTATTATAAGATTGGATTCAAACCCTGTCAGGGGCAAGCAATGGTATCCTTGTGCAAGAAACTTTACATTTGTTGCTGAAGTATTGGTTGGTTACAGGAAACTGAGGGTGTGTCCATAAGCTTATGGCTGCTTCCTCCACAATAAAACTAAAATAAATTCAGTATAAACTAAAGAAAACCGTTGGTGCATGCCAACAATCTTGTCTGACAAGCCTTCACACCTGGCTATGCTGCCTCTTAAAGCCACAGTAGACTGCTTGCACAAACCTGTCTTCATGACTAACTAGAGGGTCAATATCACTTTCCTGCCAAACAATGCTTTGTACATAATTACCATAATAACCTCAAAGGGCTTTTTTTGACAGGATAGGAGGGAACCCTATTTTAAGAAATTTTCCACAGAGGAAGCAAAAATGGAAGGAAATATTTGATGTAGCATGGACCTTAAAATATCAACATATTTATGTTTACTATATTTACAAATTTATCCTTGAAATCATGAAGTTTTTCTCTCCTTCATAAAAAAGAAATAACCTGCACCTGTAAGAGAGAGAATTTTCACGCTGTTTTCCCTTGAAGAAAGAATTCCAGGCATTTTTTTTAGCTGCACAAAGATACATGTACAAGTTACAGCAATAGTGATACAACTTATGTTGTTAGTTGTTACTTATTTTCTGTGTCAATTTTAAAAAAGAAGTCTAAGGAAATTTCAATGGAATGTTGTATTCTGCTATATGGGGAAAATATATTCTTTTTTTGGGTTTAACGTTACTGGTCGGCACTCGGCAGGGCTTTTTTCACAGTTTGGGGAAGCAGCCCTGTCCTTAATTTTGGGGGAAAATTACACCGTATATTTGCAAGGGGAAGAAATTCAGAAAAAACTTGATTCAAATTCTATTTTGGGGGAAAACTGCATGATTTTAAAGAATTTTTCTTTGGAAAAGCAGCCCTATACCGGCCCCTGCTATAGAAGGAAAAAAAGCCCTGATTGGGGACCAGCAAAAACCATACAGCCACCGAACCCTGACAGCGTAGAAAATGCCTGATTAAGTTTGTTTCTTTGTCCAGTGGTTATTGATATATCAGTTGCTTTGTTATCAACATTAAATGCATGTTTCTTCTATAACTAATTAAATTTCAACTTTCCTAAATGGTATTATTTTGGACGTCAAGAGTGCAATACCTGACCTCTTATACTAGCTATAATCAGGGCATTTTTTTGTCAAAATTGTGAAGGGGCCTTGGCCTGTTTATTTTGTGGAAAAAAAAGGGTACCGTAATATGTCATAGAATTGTGAAAGAATGACATTATATTTGCCATTACCTGTGTATAATCTGCTTCAAGTCGGTCAGGTTAACACATGCAATTACCATTTAACTCAATAAAAACTATTTATCTGTTTGCAATTGACGAAAATCAAGTTTTACCGAAAGCCGGAAGGAAAACGATAAATTTTGAAAACAATGTCCCAATATTTTGTAAAATTTCTTATGAGATTGTGATTTTTTCCTGCCGCTTTGCGCAAAAAAAAAGTTGAAATTTTGAATTGTGAAGGGGCCGAACATCAGTCCCTGTTATAGTAGGGAAAAAAGCCCTGATAATCATTTGTAGAGTAAACAATAGAATATCCAAAACTTCAGCATTTGTTGCTTAAATATTGTATAACATGTTAAAAAATTTAAAATTAAAACTTACAAGCTTTTATCTGAATAAAATCAACGTCATGCACATATCTGTCCAGACTCATGGTAGTGTAGTGTGGACAATTTAGGTAATTTTGATACCCTCCTTGACAGCCTCAGATATAAGTGTTAACATAAATAGAAATAAACAAACAAGTTAGAACCCAGCTGTACTGTCAAATTTTTAGATCCGTACTTCAAGATTAGCTAGCTTTAAAATTATGAAATCTGCACAGAAAAATGTTCAAAAAGTATCCGGTTGATGGTCCCCAACAAGTATGTGCT